AAAAAAAAGAATAATGTGATATTCTCAGAAAATAAAAATCATCTGTAATAATGCAGAATAAAAAAATAGGAATACAGAGATGCAAGATATTATAAGATCATTTAATAGCCGATAACTGATAAATGGCCAATTTTATAATTGTATATTCTTTTGTTTACATAAATAAAAACCTAAAATGAGGTATTTTAAATGCTAAGAATTTTAAGCACACACTCAGAAAGAAAGAAAGGTGATGTGTCATAAATATAGAAAATAAATAAATAAATATTAAGACCAACAAAAAAGTTTGGTGTTGTGGCATAAATATATAAATAAAATGAATTGATAAATATTTAAATAAACAAATAAATATTAAGGCTTACAAATAAAACAGTTGGTTACGTGACATAAATATATAAAATGAATAAATAAATATTAAGAATAACAAAGAAAATGTTCATGATGTCTTATGAATAAATAAATAAATATTATTACTAACAGAGAAAAAATTTTGGTGATGTTGCACAAATAAATAAAATTGTTAATTAAAATTCAAAATAGACATTTGGTAGAAATAAATTCAAAATGAAACACCAAAAATCAATCGCTTTAAACTTTGCAAGTGAATTTAGGCATCAAAGCATTTCAATGTACTAAGTATGAAAATGGATATTCAATTCTGAGGTTTGATTTAAGTGCTATTAAATTATTTTTAAAGATGTAAGATCTAAATGTAAAAATAGAGGAAATGAGCATGTACAAATACAAAATTCCACTATCAGCTGATAACCAATATGGTACCAATATACCATGCATTAGTTAATTATTTTTTATTTAATATTAAATAATAATATTGAATATTTAATAATGAAGTGTTCTACCTACACAGATATTCCACAAGAACACCGTGATCTTTGGGCTGGAGATTTCCCGCTGAACCCGGACCTTCACCTCCCAGCTGAGAACAGGTTTATAGGTCAGTTCCAATCCCATTCCATTAAATGGCCATTCATCCTTTTCTTTACGGCAGGTTTTCACGTCTGTTCTTATCCGTTCACAGCCACGGATTTCACCCTCAAAACATCAGACTGTCCTGACACGGATTTCCCAGTCAAAATAATTGACAACGAGAGAGGCCGTCTCTGGTTCAGAAAGGACAACAAGTTCAAGATACCCAAAGGTACCTTTATAATAAGACAAACTTAAGAAAAAAACACAATGTAACAGCTGTAATTATGTCATTGTGTCTGTATTTTCCGGTAGCTTATGCACGCTTCCAGCTGCTGGCACCATTTATACAGGAATCTCCTAAAAAGTGAGTTGTT